TGCTCCCCCAAGGCCTTCTCTCCTACTAATTTTATAGTAGGTGGAAGAGTTTTTAGAGGGAGGACACCACAACACATACATTTCTGTGTGGAAAGATGCATGCATTATTTTATATGGGCAAAAATTGAAACAACAATTTAGCTTCAGTTTTTTTTTCTGAAATAAAATATGGTTTTCTCTTTTCCCTTCTCTCTCTTTGTCTCTTTTAATTTCAAACCAGTTCACTTGCTCGAGTAGTGGTGTCCTTTGATCTATCCTTCTTACTTCAAAATTGCGTTCATTATCCGGTCATTTAGTTTCAGCCCTGCATAAATCGTATTTTTGATTATGAAGATTTGATGCTGTGTAAGTAATAGGTTTAACTGTGCAGAATTCTTGCTTCGGAACTTTCGTCCAATTAAGTATATTAAATCCCTACACGTAAGCCGCTAGTGGCCTGCTGGCCGTTGCCATCGGTCCTCTGGCGGCAGCCACCGTTGGGCCACTAATATTGTCGAGCCGAACACGCCGGTGACCCGACAGCGGGCCACCAGCGGCAAACGCTAGTGGTATGCCACTCAATGGCTTGCGTGTAGGGATATGCATTTCTTAGGTGACGGTCACGTTTTGCCATTCATCTATGCCCTTACTTTAAGCTGCATAGTGTTAAGTTAAATTAAGAATTCCTCTCGTGTGATCTCTCTTGCTTGATAGTAACAAGAGAACGAGGAATTGTCCACACAAGATTTGTCTCCATTTAATTCTGTGATGCGTGTAAGATGAGGTCATCATTTTTTCAAATTAGAAAGTCAATTCACATGAGAATTTAATATACACTCCGTTTCCTTCGATATTTGTCATCTAACGGAGTTCTGTCAATGTTTCCCGGTCAATCGTTCGTATCTGGGCACGCGATTCATCACGTGTATGAGAATCTATTTTTAACTTTGGTTTCCATCTGTTTCCGTGGTCATCAGTCTGACCTAATTGTCGTCTTTGCGTTCAGCAACTGCTATTACATACCAAAAGAGAGAGGGGTTAGAGTTTACATATATTATTAGAGAGATGGGTCGCTATGTGTAAGATTTTGTGTGGGTATGGGTGGCGAGTTGCAGAAAGCCGTAACATAAGACAGGCAGGTTTTTCTTCCCATGACATTATTTTTTCAACTACCTTCACTCTTTGGCAATGGTTATTTTAAAAAGCGATGATTAGAATCGAAATAAAACCTAAACACATGATGAAAGTGAATTTATACATTTTTTGTTCTTGAGAATTTACAACAAAAGCATTAAACACTATTAGATTGCTTATTTACAGGAATAATTTTATATTTACAACATTCTAAAAAACTAATACAATTAAAACTAATGCAATGCAATATTTATCATTTACCAATTTATAAAGAAATAAATGTGAAAACATTTTTCTCAAATGTATAAACATTTACTAAATTATTAAAATATGTGAACGAACTATAGAAAATATATAGAAATATAAAGAAATCCTTTTTTACCGCGTTATAAAGTTTGAATCAATTAGCAGTTAGCCAATATTTTGCCAACCATTCCAGTAAATAATATAATAGTGTTTATTATTTTGCTTGTCAATTCTCAAGAACAAAGAAAATGTATAAATTCACTTTCATCATAAAAGTATATTTTATTTTTGAAAGATTTTTTTGAATGAGAATTGCAGTGTGATGACGGCTGGCTAAAAATGACACTGAATTCAGCGATTTTAGCAATATAACTAAGATTTAAAATGAATTTCTAAAAATGAAAAATCTTTCTTGAAGCTTTTATTTTAGTTTTAATTTCAAGCTAATAGAACAATTTAATATTTTCAATAAGCAAAATACTTTGCTGTATTTCAAAACAAATTTAAATTGATTGGAATGAGTTTTTTAAATTGCTAAAAATGGCTGATTTTAGTCATATTTACAAATTTCTCAGCACAACATAATTCTATTTATTTAAAAATCTTTCAAAATAAAAAATACGATTTGAGATTTTGGCGGGTGTTTTATAACGTGGCAACAACAATCTCGATTATGTTTGGAAGTTATCAACAACTATCTCAATATACTTATGTTTGGAAATTTTTTCTATCTGTAAAAATTACTTGACAAATATCACGTGGTCACCTATTTTATATAATTCTTTAACTAGCCAGTAATGTAATATTTAGGAAAATATTCTAAGAAATCTAATGTTTTATTGAATCTTAGATACTTTGGCTTTAAATTTACTATAGTTACCACTCTTATTGATTAATAATGTCAGGTATGGACGTCAGTATTTTAAAAATCGGCACGTAGTGGGTTAGCCAATCTGTATCGGTGACAAAATACAAATTAAACTGACCTACTATTTTTGCTAAATCAAATGCAACAAAGACAAGAGCAACAAGAGAAATAATCAAATAGGCAGATATTTGTTTTAACAGAAAATATTTTAATATAACAACAAGTACACACGATATAATAGAGTTGTTTAAAACACTTTAGAGTTCTTGGTTGTGTGATCAAGGGTAATATAAAAGGTGTTATGCTATAGATCTGGTAAGGAATTAAACAGCTTATGTTGATGGCGAAATTGAATGAAATAGATTGCTTGACTTACTGTAGAGTTGTCTCGCTTCAACTGATATAGTTACGATTTCCTTTAAGTTGTTAAGATATTGATTGTCTTGGTTGAATTAGTCACTAGATGAGTTGAAAAGAAATTGAATTCCACGAGCCGGGTTGATGTTAATAAAAATTAACTTTTAGCGAGGAAGTTGGGCTTCATGGATTCGTGTGACGAGTTGATTATTTTAAGGACGGTCAACGAGGGCATCATGTGACACAAGGCCGGTTTAACGTGGGATCTCTGAGCCCGTGGGCTCGGCCAAAAATATGCCCTTTGAACCCGTATAAACGGGTTCAGGGTCGGTTTACCTCCCCGAAAGAGACTCCGCCCTTCGGCGTAGCCACGTTCGGGTTCTTCCCCGCCCGAAGGCAGAGAGTTCAGCCGATCAGCCGGTCGCCCGACTTCGGACTTTTAAGGACTCACTAAGTCGTGTCGAAGTTTCATATTTATGAATTTTCTTGATCACGTGAGAGGCTCGAAAGAATGTTTACCAATGGTTTTGGCGCGTTGAACTCTGAACAGGTCAACTCGAGGTTAGCCGTACTGACGTAGGCAGAAACATGACATTATTATTTATGGACCAATCAGAGAGCATTGTTTCGTACGAACTCTGGAACCGATTTTAATGGGTTCAGCACAAACTGAGAATACTTAGCTGTGATCTTCTTTTAACCGGTTTAAAACAGAGAATGTAGAAATCTAATTCTACACACACAAGAAAATTCAAAATTCTTTTTAAAATACTGGCTAAGGGAGGTTGCTGAATTGTAGTAAGATTTTCCATTTATAATCAGTAAATATAATTTTTAATTAACAGCAATATCACCTAACCTCTACAAAAAATTTTCTGAAGACAATAGTGTCCATATCATTCATAAAAGCAATTAAAACTTTTCTAATTAATTAATGTCTTAGTTTTATTGCTTTTTCAGGGCAGATGAAACTAGGGTTGTGTTTTACAAAAGAAAATTTGACGATTTAAATTCTCCAAGGAGTTCTGCTTATAACTAATATAAAAATTAAGTTCTACAAAAATTAATTTCTCAATTTCATAAAATTAAATAAATTTGGGTAACAGATGCAACAAAAATATTTTTACTGAGATTTTCTAAAAAAGAAAAATTTCTAAAATATTTCATTCATTTGTGAATAAATCCTGAGTTTATTTAAAATCCGACATTACATTTTTGCAAGAATTTCCAAAATCACTGTGTTTTCACCACAAAAAGACATTAAAACTTCCTATACTAGTTTATGGTCACCTGCTGATGGAAAAAAATAATTAACCAAAATTTTGAAAATTCTAAAAAGGATAAAAAAAAAAAATATAATTTAATAATCAAAAAATCGTTTGTCATTTATCTTAATATTAATAACAAAGGTTTTGATGATAAAACTTACTTATTAAGTTTGGGTTCTTTTCTCATTTATTTTTGTAGCAGAAATGCCTCCTACTCAATGCTAAGACATTAGTAGCAATTCTGTCTTCATCTAGTTAATGTATTATCATCATGAGAGAAGTATTTATTTCTGCTGCACCAAATATATATATATACAAGACACTCGCCATTTTGTTATTAATTTAAACACACGTATTGTGATTCGGTCTTCTTCATTTAGGAACACAACACGGTGTCAGAAGAGGGATTGTTATGAAACTAAAGGTAGATTAACGAAGCACTAGAGAACGGATACGCTGAGACGTCAGACGAATATCAAAACAAAACCGGAAAATAAACAAAATGAACAGCAACGTGTAGACGCCAGAGCCGTTCCTATTTGACCAGCACGGATAGTGGCTAAAATGGATAAGACGATTCACTCGCTACAAAACCGTATCGGGCCTCGAAGAAAAGCTCGGAAGAGTCCAAGTGGACCACGGGCGATAAAGCTGAGGATATCCTAGATACGTTTAAACTATCGCCGGAGGACTCGGAAAACCTCGACATAGTCAGAGATTTGACCATCACGGCCAGTACAAATGCAATTTATGAACGAGCGATGTTCAACAAGCGCTGCCAACAAGAATTTGAGTCCATAAATGCTTTTGTGACTGACTTACACGTGTTAGCAAAAACATGCGATTTTAAGGGGCTTGAAGACGAGTTTATACGCGACAGGATAGTAGTGGGATGTAGAGACGTCAAATTATACGAGACATAATGATACCAGATCTTACTTTGGAAGGCGCAGTCAAAAGGGCGCTCCATAACGAAATTATGAAGTCACAACAAATGATATTACGGCTGTCTGAAATAATAAAGTCGAGCAACTAGATGAGGATGCGGCCGTTCACATGGCCGACAGTCATCATTACCGTAAAAAAAAAAAAAAACAAAAAAAAAAACGAAAATCCCCTAAAAAATTACAAGGACAATAACCCTAAAGGGCAGAGACAAAATCGGCAGCCAGAAACAGGGCGCCACCGTTGTAGTAACAGATTGCAACATGCCACTACAGTCGGCCATTACGCACAGTGTTGCAAGTCAAAGAAGGTCCACGAGGTTCAATATGACGAAGACTACAGATACAGCAGCGACGACAACCACCCTAGGGCCATTGACAATGGCTGAGATTAAGCAGAACAAACCATGGAGGATTGAACTGGCAATAAGCCAGTGAAATTTAAAATAGACACTGGGGCTGATATCACTGTTATACCAGAATAATACACCTAAAGAAAAATGAAGTTTTTATATATCAATAATAATTATGGACGGAAGATGTATGACAAAAAAAAAAAAAAATGAAAAAGATTTCCTCTGATGTCTTTTTTTGTCCTTTACGATTTCATCGGGCTAAAAAGTTTGTTTATCTTAGTTCGACTACACTTGCACACAAACACATTGTGATATAAGATCTGTCAAGAATAGTGAAATGCAAGAAACTGGACGTAAATTTACTGTGTATGAACTTGTTGCAGATGTGAAGGTTAGGTTGAAAATTTATCAGAAGACTGTTTTTAGTCATATAAGGTTGGCTGCATGTACAAAATTTCATTTCTCCACAAACATTTTAATTTTTATCATATGCAGCAGCAACAGAAACCCTACATGGTCCACGCCATAGCTCCCTAAAAGTGACGGGGAGACTAAAGGCAACCATCCAAGGAAATAAAGGACGACAAACAATACAATACACTTATGTCATCCCTAAGCTGGAAGAGCCACTATCAGGAAGAGCAGCTATCAAGACACTAAAAATATTGGCAATCAAACTCTGCAGTGCATAGTATCAGAAATACCAACCATAAACAACCGTTTGATCCGATGAAGGTGTGGACTCGTCCAATTTTCCTTACCTTCTAACCCTAACAAAAGCAGAGTCCACATCGTACGCCTACGTACCTAGAAAACTTCGACCAATAAAAACGGCAAGAAACGAAGCAAACAACCCCATTGGTCAATCACTTGAAGTTCACGTGCAAAATGGAAATTGCGCCAAATTCAAGTGAGCCACTCGGTGAGATATAAACAGAGAACGTTTGAACCTTCGGAGAGAATAGCAGCAGTAATTACCAAGTTTCAAGATATAACATTCACCAACTCCCGTCTTAGTCATTGCTGACCAGACGTTAAAGACAATTACCAACTCCACGCCAGTCAGTCTCATGAATTCGCAGAGTAACTTCCAATATACTCCACGCCACTGCAAACCACAATTTTGCCGCGCACGAAGACACTTACTTAACTGACTCACATTCGAAAATTCATCAATCAACTCTGAACACTTTTCTTAACTTGCTTATGTACAGTGAATTGAATTCACTACTAAGAGATAAGTAAACAATAAACATCAAATACGTTAAGGGTAGACCACTCTAAAAAACTCTTTCCAAAATCTCTTATTATTCATAATTACGATATTTGACACAAACAAAAGACAGCGAACTAACGAACAATATCAACAAAGAGACATTCACGAATCAAACAATTACACACACATTTTGTCCACACGACACACACTGATTATTACCCAATCTGCATATTGATAAATTGTATAAATGTTGCATTGTTTTCTAAATTGCTTATGTCTCGTTTTTAATTGCATTTGAAAGTTCGTTTATTTATATGTTTGGGGATGCAGTGAGACACGCACCCACTAAAATTTCCTTCTGATTCTTTCTTAAATAATTAACTATCCTGCACGTCCCCAACAAAGGAGATGAAAGACTTATTTCAGGGCCTTGGCTTATTTGGAGAAGACTACACCATAGCTCTACGACGTTAAGATGCTAAGTCCTATTCCGTCCCAATATCACGTCGTGTACCCTTACCATCAATGAAGGAAACACAGAAAGAACTCATAAGGATGGAAAAGATAGGGGTGATAAGCAGGGTAGAAGAGTCCACAGAATGGTGCTCACCCATGGTAGTGGTGCCAAAAGAAAATGGAAAGGTCAGAATATGCGTTAACCTGAAAAAAAAAAACTAAATGCGTATGTTAAAAGAATTTCATATGCTACCAATAGTCGACGATGTACTATCCCAATGGATGAGGCCAAAATTATGTCCAAACTAGACGCTAATAGTGGATACTGTCATGATAAAGAGATTTGACTCAAATCTCTTTATCATGTGAATCCCGCCAATTGACGACCTTCATTACTCTGTTTCAATTTAACCGTCTACCGTTTGGAATCACATCAGCCAGTGAGGTGTACCAGAAACAGATGTCAGTCATACTAGAAAACCAAGAAGCACTGGGAGCTGCTCGGCCTGGGGGCCTGGATCAAAGTGTAGTACGCTATCTTTGTGAGCTTCCGGTGCTTTGTCGAGAGAATACTCTTCGGCGCGATCCCGTCTCCGCAGTTGGTCCGCCCTGGAAGACGTATCACTATTCTGTCTCAGCCCTGTTTAGGGACTCGTCCTAACCGATACAACGAATCTTCGTGCGACATCGATCAACCTGCTGCTGTTCCCGACAATTCTTCCATCTGGCAGTCGACCAGCTACCGCCGCCGACCAACTCTACATTCGTTTCGCCGATACGACCGAAATCAACTACCCCTGCAGCAAAAAAAAAAAAAAAAAAAATATACACTAGTCATACCGGACCCGACACCGATACAAACATATTTCTCCAGAGTACACTTTGTAGATTTTAGATAAATAAAATCGACGTTATTGTTTCTTAAACCCCCTCATTGTCTTCTGTTCACACCTTTCTTCGTAAAGCTTGCGGGGGCGACATCCTTATCGGCCCCGCGATAGAGGTAATAGAAAACCCAAAACAAATATTCGTCAGGCATGGAATACCTGTGACCCTGAGAACAGATCCAGGAAGTCAATACATGGCTAAAGAATTTGCTGATTTCGCAAGAATCTGGGGCTTTCAACACATCAACAAATAGACCTAAATTTTCTCAAAGTAACGGAGCAGTGGAAGAAAGAACATATCCCACTCCATCCGAAGTTACTGGCGCCCAAGTGGCCTAAGTTCAATTCAAACTTATTCGGAATAGAGTTGAACACAAGAAGCCTTAACAACAGCACACATACAACCAGAAACTCAGAGCAAGAAAACAGAGCCTAACCGATATTTGGAAACGCCCCTACTCCCCGATCCTATATCGTAGAAACATACGACGACAGCAGAGGATACACCCGACACACCACAACCCTCTATCTATAAGCAGGGTAATAAGAGCAGAAAACCCAGAAAGCATCCAACCTCTCAATGGAGAAAACTGAAGAAATGACTCATCAACCAACCAGTGCCCCGAGCCACATAAAAACCAAGTCTGGACGAGTATCGAGTCGTGACCATCGATAGAGAAGGCCTGTTTCATTGGGTTAAGGAGAAATGTGACGTCATCATTTCAAGAAGCGTGTCGTTTGTTTTTTGTATCAGATTTTTTACGGCGGCATTTTTAAATTGTTTATTAATACTTTTTTTAAATATTGAATTAATTTAAAACAAAAACAATGCCTTATAGATGCGTTGTACCAAATTGCAAAGGGAATTATAAAAACGGTCCTAAAGTATTTTCTTTCCCTAGGGGAGATGGTATCTATCTAATCTGGACGGAGTGATTCCCCTTTGAACGGGATCTGAATAAAAAAGGTACTCGGCATTTTGATAATAAAAATTATTACTATAGGATTTTTAAGTGTTTGATATTATTTAATGAATAATTTTGCTCTGTCTTTTGACAGAGCTCTCCCTGGATCTATATGCTCCTGGAAATTACATACGGATTGTTACCATATTGTATGGGATAACGATATATTCATTTTTTTTTCAATAATAATTTTGAAAAAAAGATGTATGACAAAAAAAAAAAAAAATGAAAAAGATTTCCTCTGATGCCTTTTTTTGTCCTTTACGATTTCATCGGGCTAAAAAGTTTGTTTATCTTAGTTCGACTACACTTGCACACAAACACATTGTGATAAGATCTGTCAAGAATAGTGAAATGTAAGAAACTGGACGTAAATTTACTCAACTGTATGAACTTGTTGCAAAGGTGAAGGTTAGGTTGAAAATTTATCAGAAGACTGTTTTTAGTCATATAAGGTTGGCTGCATGTACAAAATTTCACTTCTCCACAAACATTTTAATTTTTGTCATATGGCACAAGGCTAATAAGGCAAGATAAGAACAACAAAAAAAAAAAAAAATGATGTGAAACAACAACAAATATTTATATAAAAATCATACAAATTGTTAAGATAAATTTGTTCAGAATATTTGATTGGGCTAGACTGAATTTTAAAGACCAACATTGTTGATGTGGCAAATTGCTTTGGAATATTTCTTTAAGGGTTTGTTTAGTTTAATGCAAAATATACAATGAATAAATCAAGAGTTATTCACCCTTAACTATTCGATTAGTTAAGAGTGAATATTTATCTGTTCTCACAATGAAAAAGAATGTCTGTAAAAAAAAAAAAAACTAGTGATTAAAGCAACTTCTACTAAACTCATTTGTATGCATGTGTAATTGCACCAACAATAAACAAACTAATGACGATGAAAGTTTATTGTTGGTGCAATTATATATATATATATATATATATATATATATATATATATATATATATATATATATATATATATATATATATACACACACACACATACATACATACACACACCTGACCAGTATACCTCCTAAGGAGAATTCAGGTTCAAACCCTATCAAAGGGTATATTTCTTTAAAAACTATTGGAAACCAAGCCTGGTACTTATTCTGTTTAAAAAATAACAGAGATATCTACTAACGCACATGCATCAACTGTCTAATAATGAGTAATTGAATGACAAAATTGCAAAAACTCCCACATTACCCGTTTCATTCCTTACATATATACCAGTGGATGTGGGAATACAAATACTGGTTAAAATTCTACATAGATAATGATGAAGATTAGGGACACTTAGCAAAAGGGACAAATGCATAAGTTTTACAGGTCATAGAACTGGTCCAAGAAAGTTAAATAAACAGAAAGAATACATTTTTGAACAGAATGTGTAAAAAGGAATTGCTTAAGGTTCTAAGCTGACCTAACAGAGGTCAACAAGTTCACTTAGTTATCTTGACAATTTTTGATAAATAAAAAACATCACA